TAAAAAAAAGGTTTGCACCGTTTTGCATTTGTCACCATACCGGAGATGGCTCTGAAAGGGTTAAAAATGACCACCGGGCTTGGAAGCGTTTGCAATGTAAATTTTTTTTCTCCCCCCTTTTTTTTTCCTTACAGAATTTTCACAGGGCGTGATGACTTTCGGACGCGCGCTGTTAACCGTTCGAAGGGGACGCCTGCGGTTAACGGACCCTTTCTCCCCCCCGGAAAGGGTTAATGCCGAAGAACGAATGGCTTAGTGGCCACAGTGACATTTGTATTTTTATTGCGTGAAATATATTTTCCTTATTCCTTTTGCAGTCGAGGGGTGCGCAGGCTTGCGCTGTTATTTATTCTCGCTCGACCCCCCCGCCGCAAATTGGATAACTTTTGTGCAAAATTGGTGCAAATTTTTACTGCATGCAGAAGGATTCTCAGGACAGAATTTTCTTCGGTGACTGCGGCATACTGTTGCAATTTTTATGCAAGGTGTATGCAAGGTGTTGCCTCTCGCCTGCGCCGGATGGGGGGGGTTGTTAACGTTACAACACCGTTGTTTGGAGAAGGCTGAAGCTGAACCTCCTCGGTGAGCCTAAACGGCTCCGATGCTGACGGGGTTAAGCGTGTGCTGAGACGCACATAACACTCATATGTTTATCTAGATAAATACACGCCTTCGTGCACTTGTCAACCCCCATTGCTTTTTAAGTGAGCAGGCAAGTATGAACCAAATTTAACACGTCTGGAGCACAAATTCAGATTATGTTAAAAAACAATGGAAAAGGCCGGGGCAGTCACATTGATCAATCCCTTCCTTCTCTCTGTCAGCGAGCAGATTACAGCGCGCTAACCTCACGCTGCTGGAACTCCTGACAAGATAAAGGCAAGTGCACCACGGTAGCCCGCGCAAGGGGGGGGGGAGGCAACTGCGGCACGCGTGTGGAAAGAACGAGGGTGGCGTTGCCCCTGCGGTGGCGGCGGTGATGCACCCCGGCCCGAATCGTGAAAATTCCAATTCGTCACAACGCCCGGGCAGTGGTTAAACCCTCGTGAAAATGGATACCAGATCGCCTGATGTAATATTCCACGGGTTTTCTCCTCGGGATCCGGCAGGGACGTGATTGCCGCGTCGCGCTTTATAAATAGAACGGGGGGAAACAAACCGAACGGAAGGGATATAGTTTAATGTCTGTCGGGTTTTTAAAGGTGTTAACCCTTTCAGCCACTGGCTCGGTGGTGCTTAAAGGGCTTGCACCTTGTAGGGATAGGGGACGGAGGTACGGCGCAAGGTGTTGTAACCCGTAGCAACCGGTAAGCCTTCATCCTTTAATGATAATAAAATCTTAATAGGTTGCTAAGGGCTACTGCTCTTTATACATGAACACAGCCCTATTCCTTATGCCTTACCTGCATAGCTAAGGGAGCTGGTGGTACGGTGTGAGATCTTGTAACCCATAGCAAGCGGGGAGCGCTCACCTTTTTATGATAGTAAAATCTTAATTGGTTGCTAAGGGCTACTGCTTCTTACACATGAGCTCTTCCCTATTCCTTATGCCTTATCTTTATAGCTAAGGGAGCTGGTGGCATGGTGCAAAGTATTGTAACCGATAGCAATCAGGAAGCCTTCATCCTTTTATGATAATAACATCTTAATTGTTTGCTAAGGACGACTGCTCTTCACGCATGAGCACTGCCCTATTCTTTATGCCTTATCTTTACAGCTAGAGGAGTTGGTGGTGCGGTGAAAGGTACTGTAACCCATAGCAACCAGGAAGCCTTCATCCTTTTATGACAGTAACATCTTTATTGGTTGCTAGGGGCTACCGCACTTTACACTGCCCTATTCCTTATGCCCTAGCTGTATAACTAGAGGAGATGGTGGTATGGTGTAAGGTATTGTAAACCATAGCAATCGGGAAACCCTCATCCATTTATGACAGTAAATGCTTTATCAGCTGGCCTGTGTGTAAAAAAACCAAACAACTAAATAAAATGTAATTAAGATTTTACGGGTTGCTCATTTACACATGAACATTGTCATATGCGTTATGCCCTGACTTTATTGCTAGAAGATCTGGTGCAAGGTATTGTAACCCGTAGCAACTAGGAAGCCTTCATCCATTTATTACAGTAAAATCTTAATTGGTTGCTACAGGCTACACATAAACACTGCCCTATGTTTTATGCCTTAACTTAGAAGCCAGAGGTACAGTGCAAGGTTCTGTAACCCACAGCAACCGGGAAACCTTAATACTTTTACAAAAGTAAAATCTTTATTGGCTGCTAAGGGCTACTACCCTTTACAAATGAAAGCTGCTCTATTTATGCCTTAACTTTACAGCTAGAAGACCCGGACATATGACGCGAGGTACTGTAACCTATAGCAACCGTGAAGCCTTCATCCTATATGACAGTAAAATCTTTATTGGTTGCTAAGGCTACCACTCCATGCACAGCATCAGTGCCCTAAGCTTTATTGGCTGGCCTCTGTCAAACAAAAATCTATATTAAATGTAATTATGGCTTTGAAAACAGTATATAGATAAATTCATCGGCAGAGAACGTATTCACACTCACAATAGACTCTATAGCAGGGGTGGGCAAGCAGCTGTGGTGAAACTACAATTCCCATCATGCATCTGTCTCTGGGAGTCATCCCTGTAGCTGTGAGAATCTTGCAAAGCGTCATGGGATTTGTAGTTCCACAACAGCTGGAGGGGCCGAAGTTTGCCCACCCCTGGTTTAGACAGACAGCCGGATGACAGGTGAGATAGACTTGTAAGTTTACTGCAGTGCAAACCCCCAAAAATGACGGCCTATTTGTAAATTTCATGACTTCTATTTGACCTGTTTTTTCTTCTTTTGTGAAATATTATTTTTGATCTTTTCCTTCTTGGCCAGAGCAATTTTGTCACTGGTCCCGGCCTAAGCTGGGCCGAGGTTACAATGACCCAGCGGCCGACTTTGCCTGTTTATAAACACTATCTGCTGATTCTTCCATTTATACATGCTGTGGAAATTTTCAGCCATATTCACTTGTTTTATGAAGAAGGAAAGGACGTCCTTAAAGGAAATGTTTTTTTTTGGGGGGCTATTTTGTTCCTGCTGTTTGTAAGATTTTCCCCTTTTTGGTCATTTTTCACTGAACATTGGCTGCATTTTCACTGCATTTTGGACTGGACTGGAGATCCCGACTTTTGGTTAAAAACAGTTCCGAAAAAAGAGCCATGATGTAGGCGATTTTTGTAAAATATGCCCCCTACTCTTGCTAATGTACAGTACAACAAGTGTTGGGCCCTCTTCTCAATTTTCTCCCATAACTTTTCCCAAAGAATGAGAGAGAACGGGGAGTTAACTCATAACAACCGGGAAACCTTCATCATTTTATGACAGTAAAACCTCTATTGGTTGCTACTAGGGTTGCCACCTGTCCAGGATTCACCCGGACAGTCTGGGTTTTGAATGCTGTGTCTGGGTTTCATGGAAGCAGAAACCCGGACACAAGATGTCAGACAGGGGCAACCAAAATTGAGATAGGGGCTACTGGCCCCCCACTGAAAATAGTCTCAACTGTGATATTTACATATGAATGGGCCTAGCTATTTACATATGAATAAGCCACCACTCATTCTCCCCAAGAAATGTCTGCGCGTTGCTAGAGTGTTCGGGTTTCGCTTGAGGAAAAGGTGGCAACCCTAGTTGCTACGGGCTACTGCCTTTCACACGTGAACACTGCCTTTCTCCCTATGCATTAGCTGTATAGCTAGAGAAGCTGCTGGTACGGTGTGAGGTATTGTAACACTTCAACTGGAAAATCTTCATCATATTATGACAGTAAAATCTCAATTGGTTGCTAAGGGCTACTGCCCTTTACACGTGAACACTGCCCTCTTTCCTTAGCTGTATAGCTGTATAGCTAGAGGAGCTTATGCAAAGTATTGTAACCCTTAGCAACTAGGAAACCCTTATCCTTTTATGACACCTTGATTGCTTACTAAGGGCTACCGGTCTTTGCACATGAACACTGCCATATGCTTTATGCCTTAACTTATAGCTGGAGGAGTTGGAAGTACGGTGCAAGGTATTGCAACCCATAGCAGCCAGGAAAACCTTATCCTTTTATGATAGTAAAATCTTAATTGGTTGCTACGTGTTACTGCCCTGTACACATTAATATTGCCCTATTCCTTATGCCTTAACTGTTTAGCTAGAGGAGATGGTGGTACGGTGCAAGGTATTGTAATCCATAGCAACCAGGAAACCCTTATCCTTTCATGATAGCAACATCTTAATTGGTTGCTACGTGTTACTGCCCGGTACACATTAAAATTGCCCTATTCCTTATGCCTTAACTGTGTAGCTAGAGGAGATGGTGGTACGGTGCAAGGTATTGTAATCCATAGCAACCAGGAAACCCTTATCCTTTCATGATAGCAACATCTTAATTGGTTGCTACGTGTTACTGCCCGGTACACATTAAAATTG